GGCGGTTAGCTTAGATAATATCTAAGATTAGATTAGATATTACTATTATAGCACTAACGACATACAATTAAACAAAATTACAAAAAAACCTATAATACTTTTAAAAATATGACCCTACATATTATAATTATATACCTCACATAAATTGTCTATCTTATTTTGCATACTTTTCAAAAATTAAGGAAATGTTGCATTACGTTTAATATTTTAAAATGTTCAATTAGTAAATAAAACTTCACTTTCGCTGCTCATAAAATATTTTTGCCGACTTCCTTTAAATTATTTGTGTAAACAGTTTAAACAACAACACGTAGTTTTAAGAAATACAATTCTTGCAATAATCTTCGACAATGCCCTATTGTTTAGTTTTATGGCACTCCGGTTTAGTACCTCATTAGAGTATTTACCGCTACTAGGGCATTATTGATACTATTATTATAATTGATAAAATTTAAGCCTACCTAAGCGATGCTAATCCCTCATTCTTCCGGGTATATCAGGTATTTATAAATCGACTTTTTACTCTGTTCGTGTTTCTTATCTTTGCCTTTAAGTTATTGTAACATTAAATCTTGTATTATATTTTTCTTAAATATGATACAAGATTTAATTTAATGATACCCATGTATCAGTGTGCCGAGCGCTTTTATATATTGTACTCCTTTATTTTTATTTATTAACAAGTCTTCATTGTATGTACAGAAATATAATACAATTGACATAATTAAATAAAAAGAAGGGCAACTGGCGGCCTAAGGTAAGAGCAAAAAGTGCAAAAATACATAAGATATATAGTTATTTAAACAAAACTAACGGAACAAAACAAAGCAATTGAAACATAACATTATGTAAATATTGAACTGGACAATATTAAAAAAGGGCATTAATTATATTAACTACGTCATTAGCAGAGATTTTACGCTATTACTACTGACGTTTTAAGAATGTATTGTCATTAAGTTGTTGTTGTTGATTTATATAATTTTATCTTGATTCCTATTTTGGTGTTGTAGTGATACAAATAGATTTATTATAGGTATACATATTATAATTGTTATTTTTTTAAGTTAAAACAGAAATAAAGATTTCATAACCATGTAACTTATAACCATGTTAAGACATATAATTATATTTTTTTAATAATTAATTTTGTTGTCAAGTAATTTTGTAATAATTATAAGTTTTTAAATGCAACGCACTTGCGATCCCTCTGGCAATGTGTATCTATGGGCGGCGTTTTCACTTAACATCAGATGAGACCCTGCAGGGGGCTAACTTTTAAAGTATTTAGGGATTTAAAAAATAAGTTAATACTATTATATAATTATATATCTTGATATGTTAAAAAGAGTTTAATCTGTTGACTTGATTTTGTTCAAAATTGTTATAGGTCTAGTTCCAGATAAAGATATTAATTTAAAATTGTCTATCATGCGCTGCATTTGCCTTCCTCGGATATAGATAGCACACATAGATTAGACCAATTTGAAATCGATATCAAATTATTTAATTTATAAAATTTCATTTGTTTATTTACCGACTATCTATGTATAATTTACTGACATGGATTAATGCCCTGATTTCGTTTTGCATGCGTTATCTCTTTTACCGTCAAAATAATGATTAATTGATTATAAACAATTGAGTATGTTACTTTTGTTATTACTGGTATGTCCATCATGAATTTCTTTACCGATAGCCTGTTCTGAACAGAAACTGAAACACTGAGCTGAAGCCATCATAAAAAAAGGGTGCGTGTACTTATGTACGCGCGTAAGAAGTTATACTTCTTTGGCATTATTAAAAATAGTTTTTGATTGCATGCAAATAATTAATTACAATTAAATAATCAAACACTGGAAAAGGAGTCATTATAGTCAATAAAGTTCAGTTTACATTTGAAAAATTAAATAAATAAATATTTATTATTATTCTCTTACATTAAGTGTAACATAAATTATATTATTATTCGAATGTTGTTTTTAAATTATGTTCAATGCCATAGCATCTTCCGTGGGCAACTTAATTCTGTTATTTTTGTGTCACGGTGAGCGCGCATCGTATAATTTCACTCTCATCAATCTCATAACGCGCCTAAAGAAGTATAACTTCAAAAATAAAACTTATTTATTCTGGTCGAATAGTTAGGTTAGATTTAATTCGTATTTCTTTCATAGAACATGCCATGCATTATCTGTTTCAAGATCATTTGTGAATCTTATTGGAAAACGTCGACTTTTTGGGTCTAAAGCAAGTCGGTTTTCTCACTTCCTTCACCGTTCGAGAATGTTGAATGCGCACATGGTCCACAGCCGGGTTTCGAACCGCAGGCCTGAGAGTCGCTGAAGCCGTTAGGCCAACACTGCCCGAAAATATTATATAGAAAACTAGAAATTTTTCCTATTAACTGTATTACATCGTAACAATTACATTTAAGAATTCAATGTGTATCTCGAGTATTGATAAAACACTCAAGTGGAGTGAGCTTGAGTAATTATTTTGCTTAGTTGTCTTCGGCTTGTTGATTATCTCATAGATACGTTATCACAGTCTTTGTTTAAAATGACCAGCGTCGTTATATTATCTATGTAGACTAATTAAATAAACTAGATTTTCGATGATCTTTAAGCTAAAGTATATTTTAATCTATTGGGTAATTTTTCCTATATTACATAAATCTCTAGACTGGGAACAAACTTCAAATGTTTATCGAGAATAAATTATTAGGTAATCGTAAACTACTAAAGGGTTTAGAATCTCTGCCATTTCTCTGCCCTAACATCTTTTAAAACTCTTCTGCATAAACATTTCTTAACCATATCCTATTCTGCTTAATCGACTTGTAATTATTGTATTTCTTAATCTTTTGTATTGCATCGCAATTCATGAAACCGTGAGATTAGCTTTTTAGTTATTATTATTTTTTGTATGATTAGGAAACCTGCTTGCCTTAGACACAGGAGGCTGATCACCTACTTGCCTATTATATAAAAATGACCATGAAACCTAGTGGCTTCAGCGTGCGACTCTCATACCTGAGGTTGTAGTTTTGTCATCATCCTCGGCTGTGCACCAATGGACTTTCTTTCTATGTACGCATTTAACATTTGCTCGAACAAAAAAAAAAAAAAGAGTGAAAATAAGTCCTAATTTAGGTGAAAACATCGTTTTATTGAGGAAAACGTGGGTCGATAGTCGAAAAATATGTCAAAATTTATTTTCAAGTTTTAGACCCAGCAATAGTCGACTAATTAAATCGCATTGTGTGGACTTAGAAAAATTTCATTGTTTTTAAAGCATGAGGCGTGAAATCTACCGTTTATGCTCTTCGACATATATGTAAAAATGATCATGAAACAGATTCAGAAATCTGAGGCCAAGACCTAAAGAGGTTGTAGCGCCACTAATCTTTTTGTTGTTGTAAAATAGTATACTGATACGCTCATATTTGTCTAATTAATAAACAGCTAATTAGCAATAAATTAAGTAATTATTTTTAATAAATAATTAAACCACATTTATTTATATTAAGCTTTTTAATTACCCTAAAACATTAAATTAGAATATTTATGTTTCACTATTTAAGAGTCAGAATCTGACTTAAATTAGGTTTGGAAAAGAGCGTACCAATTCTTAAAAGGCCGGCAACGCACTTGCGAGCCTTCTGGCAATGTGTGTCCATGGGCGGCGGCATCACTTAACATTACGCGGGCCTCCTGTTGGTTTGCCTCCTGTTATATACAAATTCTGGGTAGGGCATGTTGGATTGTCCATCTCCGATCTGTTACTAATCGGCTTGCTTATCTTTCTTTATATTTAGTCACTATGCTCATTTCACCAAGTGTACCAACTATGGAGATTGTTTTGACGAATTGTTTAGGTTGATCCCACTGCTTCGATTAATCACTGCACTATCAAATGATGCAGCAGCATAATTTCAAAATTCGCGTCCAAAGGCTAGGTTCTTATGTTTTTAGGGTAAACCCCGTTTTGGATAAATGCTTCCTTCAATTCCATCTAATGTTGACATTGGTTTGGTGCAGCCTCTTTACGACGATATCTTTGACACTATCCTTATACCTTCATTTACAAACAAAACATAATATTTACAGAATACAATCAAGTACAAATGCGCTGTATTAAATATTTTAACTAAGATTACAAAAACTTTATCTTGACACTCAAAATATTTCATCTTGTCTGTAAAAGCTTGGGATTAGCTTCGTTACTTGAGTCTGACACTGATACTTCATCCAGGTCGATTAAAATCCTGCTTTTAATATAAAAAGTTTGTGACGGGCGAACTTGTCAGCGACAAATAGAAAATTCATTATTATCAAGTTTTGTTTGGTATAGAAGAAAGCTTTGTATTCTTAAATTGCTTTTTGCAGCTGAGGTTTGTTTAGTCAAGAGGACAAAGAAATTATACACAAATAAATGATGAGAAATTAAGGCTATTAATTTTATTTTGCTGTCTATAAAGCTTTTTAATGTAACAGAAGGCAAACGGACAGGAGGCTCTACTGGCGTTAAGTGATACACTCACATTGCCAGAAGGCTCGCAAGTGCATTGCCAGCTTTTTATTAATTGGTACGCTCTTTTCCTGAAGGATCCTAATTCGAATTGGTTCGGAAAAACTTTAATGGGCAGCTGGTTCCACAAAGTGATGGTGCGCGGCGGGGGTGGTGAACTTCTTACGTACACTGAAGATGCTCCTGAGACCTAATATTTAGTTACACAATTCGTTCGTTCACTCACTCACTCACTCACATGCACCCACACACTCATTGGCAACTCATTGGGCACGTGTTGGAAACAGTTGAATAAACCAGAATAATTTAAATGATATACAAATGGATTTTTTAAATAATTTCTTATGTATCGTTTGTAATTTTTTTTCATTCGTTATGCATTCTTGTCGATTTAACACGGTTAGGATTGTGATTTTTATAAATAAAATCTTTCATATTTTGTCTACTTACAGGTAAAACGATCCATAATGTTGAAAATGGCTGATGCGTGCGTAGATAGCAGCAAGCAGACACGCTTCCATGAAATGCACGTGCAAAGACATAACAATGTCAGCATATTATACGCAGATATTGTCAACTTCACGCCGTTATCTGAGAGACTCAGTGCTTCAGACTTGGTGAAGACACTGAATGAACTATTTGGAAGATTCGATCAAATTGCGCAGGTTAGTATCCATTAATTTACTGCTAGAGAAATGTTTCTGTCTGTTTTATCAAATGTATCCGCAATATACTTTTGTAAGAAGCGTATTGACCGTATTGATAAATTAAAAATTCAATACAAAAAAATCTGTTTTTATCACGTTCGACCGTTCTATCAGACAAATTTGTTTTGTCTAATGTTATTAGGGATCGTGAGTATATAGTTGGCGGTCGTACATTACATTAGTATTTATTTACACTTCGTTACCATAATTTACAAAATCATACATTTAAAAAAACAAAAAAAAGCAGGTTACATAAGTTATTAGGGCCAAAAATATAATAAATAATTAAAAAAGTATTTTAATTCATGCATTCTGTATATTACATTCGAAACAAGTTTACAACTGTTTATTAATGTCACGATAAGAATTGACGTCAACATTTATATTTATTAATAAACGCAGTGTTGGTCAAGTGGCTTCAGCGTGCGACTCATACCTGAGGTGGTAAGTTCAATCCCGGGCTGTACTTAATAGTTGTCTATGTGCGCATTTAACATTCGGTCAAACGGATAACATCGGGAAAACCCGGCTTTCCTTAGACCCAAAAAGTCGGCGTGTGGTACAGGTGGCTGATCACCTACTTGCCTATTAGATTGACAATGATGAAACACATACAGAAATCTGAAGCCCAGGCCTCAAAAAGGTTGTAGTGCCATTGATTTTTATTTTACACAAAACCAAAACAAGTTTATTACGGCATTTATAGCTGCTGTAAAAAAGTCTTAAAATTAATTGAAATTGTTAGTCTCGACAAAAGGGTTACTTTAGCAAATACACTAATGAAGGTTTATTAGGTTTGTATAGAGGCTGTTTGCTTTAAACTTAATGAGGTTTTAGACAAATAGCATTCAAAGAAAAATCTTAATTATTGTGATATAAATGGGTTAAGTTTGACGATAAAAACGCATCAGCTGGTTGGTGGAACATTTACATTAGGTCTGGGCCTTAGATTTCTGTATCTGTTTCATGATTATTTGTCAATGTAATTGACAAGTAGGTGATCAGCCTCCTGTACCTAAGATTTTGGGTCTAAGGCAAACCGCTTTCCTCACGATGTTTTCCTTCACCGTTTGAGCGAATGTTAAATGCGCACATAGAAAGAAAGTCCATTGGTGCACAGCCGGGGATCGAACCTACGACTTCAGGAATGAGAGTAGCACGCTGAAGCCACTAGGCTAACATTGCTGCTTGGTTTTGTGTTAGCCTTACAAATTACTCAAAAATATCTTTCAATCGGTTAAGGCAAAGTAGCAGTTTGATACTAGATTACTAGATTGATCTACCTAGACTGACTAGGTAGGTTTTAGACAATGAACCTTCGCTACCGCGGTTATGAAAAAAAATATTTTTTTGTAAGCGCAGTATCCAAACTCATCGAATTCACCGTTCATAAGAAATCGAAAAAATACTAGTGGTGCCTTTTATGTCTGGGCCTCATTTTAACAGGCAATTGACATACATGGGCCTGAAGAAGAAATCTCTCAGAACGAATATTGGATTTCGGACTCTTCACAGAATGTGTTCTTTGATTCTAGAACGACGCCCTGTTTTTTTACTCCTCTTCTGCTTCATTTAAGAATAAATTCAAATATCCTTTTTCCTTTGCTTCGTATTATTTTTTCATTAACAATGAAGTAATTAGAGTTTTTGACGTCCCCTCTGAATATTATATTAACTTCATTCTGCTGTCATTTTTGTATATAATTTATTTTGTATTTGAGAAATTATTTTGGGATACATTCCATAAATTAACTTTATACTTTTTTCTGTTGTTGTGATGTATCTGTGTTCTAATCAATAAATGTATATAAAATTGAACACCATAAAAAACAAGGTGGTAAAGGTTCTATCGTATTTTTGGGTCTTTTAAATCAAAATAAAATTATTTATAGTAATTAAGTTTACAGTCTCCTTCAAACCGACCCACTGACTATCTATTTTAAGATTAACTCAGGTTCGTAGCCCGGTTGCTATTGAACATTGATGTCATTGCATCAATTTTAAATTAATTGCTTTATTAATACGTTTAATGTCCCACAATTAATATTTTATGGATGATTTTAAATATATATTCAGCCATATGAGCCTACGAACAAATAATTATTATTTCGTCGAACACAAGAGACCAGAAACCTAACTAAATTAGTAACTCTAAATGAAACTAAAATTTAAACTTTATAGTTTATTTAGATAGTGGATGACATTTATGTGATTATTTTTAATCAAAATCAAAAATCAAAATCATTTATTCATATAGGTAACACAATGTGCACTTATGAACGTCAAAAAAGAAATATAGGTATATTAAATGCTTCTAATTTTACATTTACTGCCAGTTCTCAAATCAAGGGCGTAGAACGGAAGAGAAGAACTGGCAATTAACTCTCCGCCACTCTTTTTAATCGCCAAGTTTTTTGTTTTACACAACGTTTGTAAGGAGCTGCAACCATTACATCATGTTCCACATGATATCAATTAATAGTTTATTAATAATAATAAAATAAATTAAAAACAAAGATTTGTCCTCTATCAGCAGGAAGCATGGTGAAATAGGAGCATGCATTTACATTCTCGTGGGAACAACACGCAATCTTCTAAGGAGAAGGTTAAAGAGGTCTTAGATATAATTATATCTTAATGTAATAGTTTTTACAATATGCTGTCGAACACGTCTGCTCCACAGCATAATGGTCACCCAGGGCCAGTAACAACCACAACACACACACATTACACACTTAAAATGTACCTTATTCATTAAAAATATCCTTTCCTTTCCTTTTTTTTATCATAATTATTTTGTATTTCTGTGTCTGTGTTTCGTTAGTATTAAATTTTATGTCTATGTCTATTTTAAAAGTGATTATGGAGTTCCTTGCCCATTCTTCTCCATATGAACCTACCTTTTGGAAGGGGCAATTTTTTAAATATTTTTAACTTTCAAACGTGCCTTTTTATAGGCCTAATTGTAATAAATAATTTGACTTGACTTGTTAAGACTTACAATCACTTCAAGCAAGCCCAGTACGGTTAGCAAAACCTACTTCATATAAGTTATAATTTCTTAATTAAAACAAAATAAAGAGAAAACAAAGTTATTGTAAACGAAACAATAATTTACTAATTTAATTTTACGACACTTTACAAGGAGTTGTTATTTCAGAAAGTTGTAATCTCAACTCCTGCAATAATTTTCTAATTGGGTAAATGTAAAGTATCCCATCGGCTTTATAATTTAAATAAACAATAACGTTTTGTTTGGAATTTCCAATGTTCTAATCTAAATTTAAAGTTAAAACAATAGAAAACTCAGTAACAAAAACAAACTAAATAATAATTGTGTTTATTACTCAATATTATTTACGTGAATAGGCATATAGAATAAATTGTTTAATGAATATAAACGTGAATTTATAACATTACTAGCTGTTCCCTGCCACGCCACGCTGTGGTACATTGTGATTGAATGGTTGAGAAATAAGAAACAAAACATTTCATATAGGTTTAATTTTGCAATACTTATGGAAAAAATAATGAAAAAAGTGATAAAAAAAATAGATAAAAATCCTTGATGCGGAGTTTTTGAAGCGTACACAAACTCACACCGATCGAGCTGAAATTTTAGCATGTGTTATATATTAGGTTGGGGAAAAAGTCTTTTCGCATTATACTATGTATGAACTTGTAATAAAATCTCTTTGGCTATACTATATGTATTTGCCTGTTTTTGTTATCATTGAAAGTTGAGATTTTAAAGAAGATAATTCCAAATTCATATTAGGATAATGTGTGATTTTTATTTATTTTTCGTACCGTCAAGATAAGTGAATCTAATGAAGAAATTCGATACATTTTAAAATTTTACTACAAAAAAGACAGATATATTGTCAACTTCACGCCGTTATCTGAGAGACTCAGTGCTTCAGACTTGGTGAAGACACTGAATGAACTATTTGGAAGATTCGATCAAATTGCGCAGGTTTGTATCCTTTAATTTACTGCTAGAGAAATGTTTCTGCCTGTTTTATCAAATGTATCCGCAATATACTTTTGTAAGAAGCGTATTGACCGTATTGATAAATTAAAAATTCAAAACAAAAAAATCTGTTTTTATCACGTTTGACCTTTCTATCAGACAAATTTGTTTTGTCTAATGTTATTAGGGATCGTGAGTATATAGTTGGCGGTCGTACATTACATTATACATAGTATTTATTTACACTTCGTTACCATAATTTACAAAATCATACATTTAAAAAAACTAAAAAAAGCAGGTTACATAAGTTATTAGGGCCAAAAATATAATGAATAATTAAAAAGTATTTTAATTCATGCATTCTGTATATTACATTCGAAACAAGTTTACAACTGTTTATTAATGTCACGATAAGAATTGACGTCAACATTTATATTTATTAATAAACGCAGTGTTGGTCAAGTGGCTTCAGCGTGCGACTCATACCTGAGGTGGTAAGTTCAATCCCGGGCTGTACTTAATAGTGTCTATGTGCGCATTTAACATTCGGTCAAACAGTGAAGGATAACATCGGGAAAACCCGGCTTTCCTTAGACCCAAAAAGTCGGCGTGTGGTACAGGTGGCTGATCACCTACTTGCCTATTAGATTGACAATGATGAAACACATACAGAAATCTGAGGCCCAGACCTCAAAAAGGTTGTAGCGCCATTGATTTTTATTTAACTCAAAACCAAAACAGGTTTATTAAGGCATTTATAGCTGCTGTAAAAAAGTCTTAAAATTAATTGAACTTGTTAGTCTCGACAAAAGGGTTACTTTAGTAAATACACTAATGAAGGTTTATTAGGTTTGTATAGAGGCTGTTTGCTTTAAACTTAATGAGGTTTTAGACAAATAGCATTCAAAGGAAAATCTTAATTATTGTGATATAAATGGGTTAAGTTTGACGATAAAAACGCATCAGCTGGTTGGTGGAACATTTA